TTCAGTTCTAGTTCAGTTCTAGTTCAGTTCTAGTTCAGTTCTAGTTCAGTTCTAGTTCAGTTCTAGTTCAGTTCTAGTTCAGTTCTAGTTCAGTTCTAGTTCAGTTCTAGTTCAGTTCTAGTTCAGTTCTAGTTCAGTTCTAGTTCAGTTCTAGTTCAGTTCTAGTTCAGTTCTAGTTCTAGTTCAGTTCTAGTTCAGTTCTAGTTCAGTTCTAGTTCAGTTCTAGTTCAGTTCTAGTTCAGTTCTAGTTCAGTTCTAGTTCAGTTCTAGTTTCAGTTCTAGTTCAGTTCTAGTTCAGTTCTAGTTCAGTTCTAGTTCAGTTCTAGTTCAGTTCTAGTTCATTCTAGTTCAGTTCTAGTTCAGTTCTAGTTCAGTTCTAGTTCTAGTTCAGTTCTAGTTCAGTTCTAGTTCAGTTCTAGTTCAGTTCTAGTTCTAGTTCAGTTCTAGTTCAGTTCTAGTTCAGTTCTAGTTCAGTTCTAGTTCAGTTCTAGTTCAGTTCTAGTTCAGTTCTAGTTCAGTTCTAGTTCAGTTCTAGTTCAGTTCTAGTTCAGTTCTAGTTCAGTTCTAGTTCAGTTCTAGTTCAGTTCTAGTTCAGTTCTAGTTCAGTTCTAGTTCAGTTCTAGTTCAGTTCTAGTTCAGTTCTAGTTCAGTTCTAGTTCAGTTCTAGTTCAGTTCTAGTTCAGTTCTAGTTCAGTTCTAGTTCAGTTCTAGTTCAGTTCTAGTTCAGTTCTAGTTCAGTTCTAGTTCAGTTCTAGTTCAGTTCTAGTTCAGTTCTAGTTCAGTTCTAGTTCAGTTCTAGTTCAGTTCTAGTTCAGTTCTAGTTCAGTTCTAGTTCAGTTCTAGTTCAGTTCTAGTTTAGTTCAGTTCTAGTTCAGTTCTAGTTCAGTTCTAGTTCAGTTCTAGTTCAGTTCTAGTTCAGTTCTAGTTCAGTTCTAGTTCAGTTCTAGTTCAGTTCTAGTTCAGTTCTAGTTCAGTTCTAGTTCAGTTCTAGTTCAGTTCTAGTTCAGTTCTAGTTCAGTTCTAGTTCAGTTCTAGTTCTAGTTCAGTTCTAGTTCAGTTCTAGTTCAGTTCTAGTTCAGTTCTAGTTCAGTTCTAGTTCAGTTCTAGTTCAGTTCTAGTTCAGTTCTAGTTCAGTTCTAGTTCAGTTCTAGTTCAGTTCTAGTTCAGTTCTAGTTTCTAGTTCAGTTCTAGTTCAGTTCTAGTTCAGTTCTAGTTCAGTTCTAGTTCAGTTCTAGTTCAGTTCTAGTTCAGTTCTAGTTCAGTTCTAGTTCAGTTCTAGTTCAGTTCTAGTTCAGTTCTAGTTCAGTTCTAGTTCAGTTCTAGTTCAGTTCTAGTTCAGTTCTAGTTCAGTTCTAGTTCAGTTCTAGTTCAGTTCTAGTTCAGTTCTAGTTCAGTTCTAGTTCAGTTCTAGTTCAGTTCTAGTTCAGTTCTAGTTCAGTTCTAGTTCAGTTCTAGTTCAGTTCTAGTTCAGTTCTAGTTCAGTTCTAGTTCAGTTCTAGTTCAGTTCTAGTTCAGTTCTAGTTCAGTTCTAGTTCAGTTCTAGTTCAGTTCTAGTTCAGTTCTAGTTCAGTTCTAGTTCAGTTCTAGTTCAGTTCTAGTTCAGTTCTAGTTCAGTTCTAGTTCAGTTCTAGTTCAGTTCTAGTTCAGTTAGTTCAGTTCTAGTTCAGTTCTAGTTCAGTTCTAGTTCAGTTCTAGTTCAGTTCTAGTTCAGTTCTAGTTCAGTAGTTCAGTTCTAGTTCAGTTCTAGTTCAGTTCTAGTTCAGTTCTAGTTCAGTTCTAGTTCAGTTCTAGTTCAGTTCTAGTTCAGTTCTAGTTCAGTTCTAGTTCAGTTCTAGTTCAGTTCTAGTTCAGTTCTAGTTCAGTTCTAGTTCAGTTCTAGTTCAGTTCTAGTTCAGTTCTAGTTCAGTTCTAGTTCAGTTCTAGTTCAGTTCTAGTTCAGTTCTAGTTCAGTTCTAGTTCAGTTCTAGTTCAGTTAGTTCAGTTCTAGTCAGTAGTTCAGTTCTAGTTCAGTTCTAGTTCAGTTCTAGTTCAGTTCTAGTTCAGTTCTAGTTCAGTTCTAGTTCAGTTCTAGTTCAGTTCTAGTTCAGTTCTAGTTCAGTTCTAGTTCAGTTCTAGTTTAGTTCAGTTCTAGTTCAGTTCTAGTTCAGTTCTAGTTCAGTTCTAGTTCAGTTCTAGTTCAGTTCTAGTTCAGTTCTAGTTCAGTTCTAGTTCAGTTCTAGTTCAGTTCTAGTTCAGTTCTAGTTCAGTTCTAGTTCAGTTCTAGTTCAGTTCTAGTTCAGTTCTAGTTCAGTTCTAGTTCAGTTCTAGTTCAGTTCTAGTTCAGTTCTAGTTCAGTTCTAGTTCAGTTCTAGTTCAGTTCTAGTTCAGTTCTAGTTCAGTTCTAGTTCAGTTCTAGTTCAGTTCTAGTTCAGTTCTAGTTCAGTTCTAGTTCAGTTCTAGTTCAGTTCTAGTTCAGTTCTAGTTCAGTTCTAGTTCAGTTCTAGTTCAGTTCTAGTTCAGTTCTAGTTCAGTTCTAGTTCAGTTCTAGTTCAGTTCTTCTAGTTCAGTTCTAGTTCAGTTCTAGTTCAGTTCTAGTTCAGTTCTAGTTCAGTTCTAGTTCAGTTCTAGTTCAGTTCTAGTTCAGTTCTAGTTCAGTTCTAGTTCAGTTCTAGTTCAGTTCTAGTTCAGTTCAGTTCTAGTTCAGTTCTAGTTCAGTTCTAGTTCAGTTCTAGTTCAGTTCTAGTTCAGTTCTAGTTCAGTTCTAGTTCAGTTCTAGTTCAGTTCTAGTTCAGTTCTAGTTCAGTTCTAGTTCAGTTCTAGTTCAGTTCTAGTTCAGTTCTAGTTCAGTTCTAGTTCAGTTCTAGTTCAGTTCTAGTTCAGTTCTAGTTCAGTTCTAGTTCAGTTCTAGTTCAGTTCTAGTTCAGTTCTAGTTCAGTTCTAGTTCAGTTCTAGTTCAGTTCTAGTTCAGTTCTAGTTCAGTTCTAGTTCAGTTCTAGTTCAGTTCTAGTTCAGTTCTAGTTCAGTTCTAGTTCAGTTCTAGTTCAGTTCTAGTTCAGTTCTAGTTCAGTTCTAGTTCAGTTCTAGTTCAGTTCTAGTTCAGTTCTAGTTCAGTTCTAGTTCAGTTCTAGTTCAGTTCTAGTTCAGTTCTAGTTCAGTTCTAGTTCAGTCTTTCAGTTCTAGTTCAGTTCTAGTTCAGTTCTAGTTCAGTTCTAGTTCAGTTCTAGTTCAGTTCTAGTTCAGTTCTAGTTCAGTTCTAGTTCAGTTCTAGTTCAGTTCTAGTTCAGTTCTAGTTCAGTTCTAGTTCAGTTCTAGTTCAGTTCTAGTTCAGTTCTAGTTCAGTTCTAGTTCAGTTCTAGTTCAGTTCTAGTTCAGTTCTAGTTCAGTTCTAGTTCAGTTTCTAGGTCAGTTCTAGTTCAGTTCTAGTTCGTTCTAGTTCAGTTCTAGTTCGGCTAGTTCAGTTCTAGTCGTTCTAGTTTCAGTTCTAGTCAGTTCTAGTCAGTTTAGTCAGTCTAGGTAGTTCTAGTAGTTCTAGTTCAGTTCTAGTCAGTTCTAGTTCAGTTCTAGTTCAGTTTCTTCAGTTCAGTGTTCTAGTTCAGTTCTAGTCGTTCTAGTTTCATTCTGTTCCAGTTCAAGTTCTAGTTCAGTTCTAGTTCAGTTCTAGTCAGTCTATTTCAGTCTAGTTCAGTTCTAGTTCAGTTCTAGTTCAGTTCCTAGTCAGTTCTAAGTTCAGTTCTAGTTCAGTTCTCGTAGTAGTCAGTTCTAGTTCAGTTTCTAGTTTCAGTTCTAGTTCAGTTCTACTTTAGTTAGTTCTAAGTTCATTTCTAGTTCAGTTCTAGTGAGTCTATACAGTAGTCTCATATTACCACACTGATCTATAGTCCAGACTACAGACCGACTTGTTGCCCAATCTATTGAAAGATCTGTAGTCCAGACTGTAGGCTGATCTATAGTATGATCCCTAATACTGATGAACTAGACTACAAACTAACCTTAGTCCAGACCGGCAGGTTTTAAGCCGGTCTATATTACAGGCTATAGACTAATCTATATTCCAGTCTATGGACTCTTCTATAATAAAAACTCCCAAATTGTGCATACTGCTTTCTAGATTTTTAAAGTTTATTGTCGTCAGTAGTTGGAATTGTGCTTAATTTTGCACTAAGACGACATTACATTAAAAAAGACAATAAAAAAATTTTACGCATTATTTTCTTTTATTCATCTCGGCTCATCAAAGAAAGTAGGACATTATTTTGGCGTTTCTTAAATTTGTCATCTGGTATTATAAAACGAAAAAAATGCTGATATCCTCGGTGATTGATTTATTGTAACAAATAAAAGATCGCCAGAAAAAAACAAAAACACGACACTCAATTCAAAACGGAGGAAGTAAATAAAGTCAGTGGATGTGTTGCCTTAACATGAGGTACGGTGGTAAATCATAACACCACAACGAAAAAAATAACAAAAGTTACAATAATTCAAAAGAATACTTATAACAAAAAAATAAACCATCAAGACAAATAAAAAAAAGAAATGTTAACATTTCTAAGCTTCCAAGATTATTTTTGGATTTTATTCTTTAGATTGCTTGACACAACCATCCAGTAAACAAACAACAAAACGTGATAAATGTTGAGGTGGCAGCACCATAAATGAATTTACTAACGAAATTTATAACATTTAATAATTTTTTTATTGTTTGGACACATTTTTGATGAAAAGCTTCCAGTGCAGAGAATAATCTGCCATCATCAAATCGAATTGTTATAAAAAGTGAAGCATATTTTTATTAAATGACCATGTTCTTTCTTTTCTTCCTTCCTTTCTTTGTTCACATTACCGTTTATGGACTTTAGACAAAGGGAAGGAAGTTGTTGAAGTTTGCTGAAGGTGATAAAAATATAAAGCTTTGTACTTTAGATTATTAACTTTTGCTGAAAATAAAATTTCATTACTTTATTATTCTTTTTGTGGGAATTTTATTTTATTTTAGAAAATTAATGTTTTATGGCCACAATTTAGCCAGTTTTTGGTTTTCCTTTTGTCATTAAACGTGAACGTACGGCATTGGTAAAATTAGCTTCTGTTATACAGGAATAGGGCCTTAAAGTACGACGTCCCAAATTTACATCTGCACTTTGACATTTTTTTACGTGTATCCAAATCAATATGTTCCACACGTTCAACACGCATACTGGGTCGTTTGGCCAAATAATCATTGATGTGTGTATTGATGCCATTACTGATGTTCAGTTTAATTAACGTTCTTGAAGTTCGGCCTTTAATCGTTCGTTTTCCTTTTCCAAGGACTTTTTTGCGCTGAGTCAAGCAGACCCACATCGATTTTGACATTGTTGACACGTTTCCAAAATTCTCCATTAAGAACCAGTTAGAGAAACCCTCCTAAAAAATATGAACACATACACATAAGAAATACTGCGAATATATCTTCTAGTTCAGTTCTATTTCAGTATTAGTTCAGTTCTAGTTCTAGTTCAGTTCTAGTTCAGTTCTAGTTCAGTTCTAGTTCAGTCTAGATCAGTTCTAGTTCAGTTCTATTTCAGTTCTAGTTTAGTTCTAGTTCAGTTCTAGTTCAGTTCTAGTTCAGTTCTAGTTCAGTTCTAGTTCAGTTCTAGTTCAGTTCTAGTTCAGTTCTAGTTCAGTTCTAGTTCAGTTCTAGTTCAGTTCTAGTTCAGTTCTAGTTCAGTTCTAGTTCAGTTCTAGTTCAGTTCTAGTTCAGTTCTAGTTCAGTTCTAGTTCAGTTCTAGTTCAGTTCTAGTTCAGTTCTAGTTCAGTTCTAGTTCAGTTCTAGTTCAGTTCTAGTTCAGTTCTAGTTCAGTTCTAGTTCAGTTCTAGTTCAGTTCTAGTTCAGTTCTAGTTCAGTTCTAGTTCAGTTCGAGTTCAGTTCTAGTTCAGTTCTAGCTCTAGTTCAGTTCTAGTTCAGTTCTAGTTCAGTTCTAGTTCAGTTCTACTTCAGTTCTAGTTCAGTTCTAGTTCAGTTCTAGTTCAGTTCTAGCTCAGTTCTAGTTCAGTTCTAGTTCTAGTTCAGTTCTAGTTCAGTTCTAGTTCTAGTTTCCTAGTTCAGTTCTAGTTCAGTTCTAGTTCAGTTCTAGTTCAGTTCTAGTTCAGTTCTAGTTCAGTTCTAGTTCAGTTCTAGTTCAGTTCTAGTTCAGTTCTAGTTCAGTTCTAGTTCAGTTCTAGTTCAGTTCTCTTCAGTTCTAGTCAGTTCTAGTTCAGTTCTAGTTCAGTTCTAGTTCAGTTCTAGTTCAGTTCTAGTTCAGTTCTAGTTCAGTTTAGTTCAGTTCTAGTTCAGTTCTAGTTCAGTTCTTCTAGTTCAGTTCTAGTTCAGTTCTAGTTCAGTTCTAGTTCAGTTCTAGTTCAGTTCTAGTTCAGTTCTAGTTCTAGTTCAGTTCTAGTTCAGTTCTAGTTCAGTTCTAGTTCAGTTCTAGTTCAGTTCTAGTTCAGTTCTAGTTCAGTTCTAGTTCAGTTCTAGTTCAGTTCTAGTTCAGTTCTAGTTCAGTTCTAGTTCAGTTCTAGTTCAGTTCTAGTTCAGTTCTAGTTCAGTTCTAGTTCAGTTCTAGTTCAGTTCTAGTTCAGTTCTAGTTCAGTTCTAGTTCAGTTCTAGTTCAGTTCTAGTTCAGTTCTAGTTCACTTCTAGTTCACTTCTAGTTCAGTTCTAGTTCAGTTCTAGTTCAGTTCTAGTTCAGTTCTACTTCTAGTTCAGTTCTAGTTCAGTTCTAGTTCTAGTTCAGTTCTAGTTCTAGTTCTAGTTCAGTTCTAGTTCAGTTCTAGTTCAGTTCTAGTTCAGTTCTAGTTCAGTTCTAGTTCAGTTCTAGTTCAGTTCTAGTTCAGTTCTAGTTCAGTTCTAGTTCAGTTCTAGTTCAGTTCTAGTTCAGTTCTAGTTCAGTTCTAGTTCAGTTCTAGTTCAGTTCTAGTTCAGTTCTAGTTCAGTTCTAGTTCAGTTCTAGTTCAGTTCTAGTTCAGTTCTAGTTCAGTTCTAGTTCAGTTCTAGTTCAGTTCTAGTTCAGTTCTAGTTCAGTTCTTAGTTCAGTTCTAGTTCATTTCTAGTTCAGTTCTAGTTCAGTTCTAGTTCAGTTCTGTTTCTAGTTCAGTTCTAGTTCTAGTTTAGTCCTAGTTTAGTTCTAGTTCAGTTCTAGTACACTTCTAGGTCAGTGCTATTTTCACTTCTATGTCAGTTCTAGTTCAATACTACATAGTTAGGTTCAGATCTTCAGTTCAAATTCTGTTAAACTTTAGTTCTTAATTCACCTTTGCCGTCTGCTCTTGCATTTCTTGAAGGTCCTGTCCCCCCCTCCTCCTGCTCTTCGAACATAACTTTTGTTAAAGGCGGCAGACCAAAAGGTAAAATCTTTCCTTTCGGTTTCAAATTTACGGCAAACTCCAGCCAATTGTAAAATAGTATTTCCTTGTCACACAAGGTTTTAAAGTACTGAAATAAACCAAAACCATAATATGCACTATCTTCCACCATATCGTCTCACCTCACATACTCACCTTTACAGCTTTATAGCTTTCCACACTGGTTAACTTAAATTTCTCCTCATTATCTTGCATTTCTCTATCCACACGCTGTTTAACCTCATTTAGCTTATTAGTCAAATGTTCCTTCATAAGTTTTAAATGCTTTAGACGAACTTCACTTTTATCTTCAGCATCGGCCAGTGTTAGTTTTAAACTGGCCAATTGATTACTGGCCTTTTCGATTTCATAACAATAGTCACGTGTTTGATTGGTATACTCTTCATCACGTTCCTTTAGGTCCATATAGTCGGCATAGAAACCTTCGGTGTGATTAACATAGTCTGCTAAGGCTAGCTGATATTCATGCCACAGCTTTTCCAGTTTCTGTTCACCTTTTTCGGTAATTTCCTCAATGCGCAATTGCATCTGGAAAAATTTATGTAGATATAGGAATTTTTATAACAAGTACATGTCTTACCTCTGCTTTAATATCATCTAATTGTCCCAAAAACTTTTCATGAGCCTCATTTTTTTGACTTTCGTTTTTGGCCTCCAACTGATAGTAAACACATTCCAAATGTTCCCGAGCATTAGTGCTTAACTCCTTTAGCTGGTTGTGATCATCTTGAAATTCTTGCAACATTAATTGCTTTTCCGATTCATAATTATCGCGAAAGAATTCCAAACGTTGTTGTTGTATCTATATTGGACAGGAATCTTTAATATAAATAATTTTAGAGTTAAATTGAAAAATTATACTTATAAAATGTTGCACCATTTCCATGTGAGCCTGCGACATGTTATCATGCTGACTGTGAGCCAC